CTTTATGTCAAAGAGCAATTGCAGAATGAAAAAATATCCCAGCCCAGTCCAGATCAAGTCCGTAAGTCCAATATTAGACCATATGTCCAGTACGAGTCCTTACATTTCTCTTGAGACTCACACAGCCATGCAATGACGCCAAATGCAGGAAGATCACAGGCCAGTGGGTGGAAAGTCTTGTAGATCCAGTGGTGGTGGCAGGATCTCCACACTGGCATGGGTCTCCACGTGGCTCCTCTAGCTCCAGGGATCTAGCATAGCTCCATGTGTCTTGTTAGCAGGAATGGCTCACAGGGCGTGAATGTGTGTGTATCCAGCCTCCAGTGAGCTATTTATCTTCTTTGTACCTCCAAATGCGATCATTAAGCAGCAACCTGATTGACAGACTAAACTCCACCCCTTCACTCTAATTTGTCTCAAATTGACAACAGATTATGTAGCTGGCACACTATGAGCACTCACCTGTATCTTCAGGTATGGAGAAGTAGGGAGAGTACACTGTCAAGAACTGGAATTCATTCACACAACACCCTATGTAAGAAATGTAGGACTTCTTATAGAAACTTCATGAATGAGGAATCATTTCAACAACAGCAGCGGTTCTGCTGTGGGCAGATGTTTCTGAATGGCTCCAAATAAACTAGGAACAGCTAATGCATATTACTCTATTTCCTCTAGTGCAAGTATTACCCATGCAGCTTGATTCTCAAAGCCCCCATAACACTGTGAGAATTGAGTTCATCTCCTAAATGAATAATTGAATTCATTTTCTAGTTAGAACTTGCCCTAATTCAGGATGTAAAAGCTTACAGCGTAGAAGAGAGGGTGGGCAGATTTTACTCTTATTCATGTACATGTTTAGCACATGTGCATGCTCTTTTTTTGCGTGTAAGTCCAATCAAAAGATATCAACTTTGTGTTTTAAATATGTTCCTTTCTGTATGTCTATGTCTACATACAGCCCTTGATGTAGTTATGCAACCTTGGTCACCTTATTTCTCAGCCAAGAAGCAGATGAGGAAACATAACAAATAGAGAATTTATGATTAATTGCCCCTTGGAAATAACTCCAGGATGATTATCACAGCTCTGCATTCAAGGTGTGAGGAAGGCTTATGTTTCTTTCTATTGTTGCGATAGGTAAGACCGCACGTTACTACATGTTGTGTCCTGATGAAATCTTATTAAATGCCCATTAATGACACTCAATTTTTGTAATTCCATGGACTATCAGAACCTATCTAAGAATCCATTTTCCTTTGACAATTTTTGTGAAAATTGACCTTTGTGGGGAAAAAATATTAAGCATGACTGAGATAATTTGGCAAGAGTTCAAATAGGGAAGCTATTTTCTATCTCTTGTTTCCAAATGCCAAGCTGCATAGTCTATTCCTATGAGTAATGATTTACATGTCAAACTCTAGTGATGGGGAAATGCATGCAGTGATACACAATACAAAGAAAACTATTATTATGATACATACTATTTCACATATGCACACACACCTCTGTGTGCTTTGTATTTGTTTTAAAGCTTCATGTTGAATCTGAAGCTCTTCTTTTATGTGCATATACACTGCATGGAAATGTTATGTGTATGATTATGCTATTGCGAATAACACAGATTAAAGCAATTTGTAAGCATTGCAGAGAAGTGCACACCCTCATTGAAGAGGTGCCAGAATCGCTTTAGAAAATCCAGAGTCTTCACATGCATTTAAAATGTGAAAACTTACCATTTCTCCCCAAAGTCACTTATTATTTCAAAGTCATGGTCCTTGGGTTGGCTTTAATACTTTGAAAGTCTTTCTATACTTTAAAAATGAATTCTGTATAAGATAACTACCTAGCATTTCTTTTCCAATAACATAGCTAGCATATGGCAAGGTATGGTCACCTAGACAGTTCACTTTGACTGGATTTCATCAGTTGTGTACCTACCATGTGCTCTGCTTTGGGGAAAGGCTGAAGGCATCATTTCTGCTCTCACAGAACTCACACAATAGAAGAGGAGCAACATCACCTGATGCTAATATGCATTGAAGGATGCGTGTCCACATTGATGGATGCGTGTCCCGGGTTTGCAGTGACAGCTTGGAGAAGTTCCTAAGCTTGACTGGCCCCTGGTGGATGCTGAGGTGTGGGCCTGGAAGTATGGAGCAGATGCTTACCTCCCTCACCGCCTCACGTCTCATAATCCTCTTCCACTAGATTCACGCCAGGCGTCTCAGTCTTGAGAGTCGTCATTTATCAGCCAGTAATTGAACTGCTTCCATTTGTTCTCATAGAACCAGTTTTTCTGACTGGATTCGACCCTATGATAATTTTGAGCTCGGAAAGTTTATGACTAGGCATATTCAAGTGTACCGCAGTTGCCCTGCATGTATCTTCATGGAATGAGTGGAATTTTAAAATAGGTGCATGAATCTGTTTCTTTCACCTGGAAAATGTAGGAGTTATCTGGCTTCTTCCGAATCATTGACTTTATTTTTCCAAATAGTATTCGTTCTTTTTCTGTTTGATGGAACGCTCAGAGGTTCTTAATTCGGTCAATGAAAAACTAAGTAAATTGTTTATTTTGATTTGTTTTCCCCATTTAGTAAACCCCATCCATGGTGTGAAGGGTAAATCGTCTGTGAGAGAGTGAATTTGAACAAGCAGGTCTCTCGGTTTGATTAGGCTGCGCGTCTCACAAGGCAGGTGGTCCTTAGTAGTGATTACAAAACATATTGTAACCTAGAGATTTCAAGGAAACTGCAGAGCCAAGACTGAAAGGGGAACACTGTATGTATGCTGCTTTGGGTCCAGAGGGAAGTGGGGGTCACGGGGCTACTGGGTCGACCTCAAATAACTCAAACCTCACTCTTTAGGCTTCTACCCTAGAGGCACTTTCTTGGGTTAACATAGGAATGAGACAGTTAAAACATTTTTTTCTCTTTTTATTTGTATGTGATTTGAAGATTAAAAAAAAAAAAGAGCTTCCCAACCACAATTACCCGTGACACTGAGATTTTTGGAATGGTGCTTTGAAGGACATTGGTCCTGATTTAATTGGTGAATGATCACTCTCTAGGGGAGAGGGATTTTTGACAAGGTAATACAGTCATTGGGCCTCAGTTTCCACACCTGTGAAGTGAGGGGAATAAGAGGCTTCTTTTGAAAATGTAATACATAGAGATATATTGGTCAAGAACAAGATTTTGAGTCAGACAGGACATTTTTGAATTCTCACCTTCCTCTTATGAGTTGATTAATTGTAAGTATTTTATTTAGCCTCTTTTAATCTCAGTTTCTTGTAAATGTTCATGGTAGTTATATAATTTCATGTCAACTTGAAGTGCAGGGGTGGAGTCTAGCCTGTCAATCAGGTCACAGCCTTAGGGTGCCTCTTTGTGGAAGATCTAATGGCGATTAGATGCACACAAC